GTCTGTACGTGCTATTACTAAGAGAATTCTTTGACACTACTGTCAAAACAATAAACAAAACACAATTCAGGGGATATACTGATTCAGATCAATGATAAATATGTAACATTCTATGTTCTTTATTGGATGCCATATGTTTACAAAGGCATTAGTAATTTTTTTTTATTACACCAGACTTGATTGCCACATTTTGCTTCAAAGATGATAAAAGATTACTTCCAGCTAATAGGCAAACATGACAGACATTAATAATAACTGTTAGAGCCCAGTGTTTAGAACTGTGACAATGGGCGGGGGATAGCAACACAATGCATTCTTGACTATTCATTATTTTAAACTTTTGAACAGTCAACAAAAGAAGTGATTTGCAACAAATATTAAATCAAGTAGGAACAAAGAAGGCCCTTGAAACTATAATGAATGTGCGGCTCTTTCTGAGGGAAGAGGCTGCTGAAAGCAATGAGATTTCATGAAATAAGAGCCATAGCTTAAGCTATAATGAAACAATAAATATATTCTTCACGAATATGAAAAGACATTTCCAACTTTTCATTGTCAGATGTTGGCTTCTATATTACTGTAATCTGCCAACCTGCACTATGGGATTTAAACAAAACAGAAGAGAGAAGACTGCAGATTTTTTAATATAACAATATGTGAAAAAATAACAATCATTTTTTATCTTACCTCTTTGAGCATGTGACAGATAAAACATGTTTCAAAAATGGGTAACCAAAATCTTACCCCGGGGTGTATTGTATGCCTCATATTACTTAACCTACTAGGATGCCAAGCTGCTTGCTTATTTATGTCCTGTCCATAGGATGCAGTGACATCATCTGATTACAAATAAGCCAACATTCAGCCATTAGAAAGCCAAACAGCACAAAGAGGCTTTGCACCTTTTAGTGGGAAATTTTCTACCTTCGTCTCAGATGCCTGAATCTTCAGACTATGGTTGCAAACCAACTTGCATAGAAAGCACCCTATAAATGTAAGTGGATTATTACAATTATATTTATTTTATGGAATATAAAACATCACATTGATGTGTGTATGAAGATGAATATCATATTTGAAACATCACACAGACTTTCCACATTTTCACTCCTTAGCCTTTTTACTCCACCATCCCATGCTCTGCCCTTGGTTCTTTTTTTTTTTTTTTTAAACTTCCTTTTACTTGCTTTCCTCGAGTCTCTGTATTTTTTTTTTTTTGCCTCTCTGGCTCTTCCTTCTTTCCTCTTTCTAAATCCCCTGTTCCATTTTATTATTTACCTTCTCTCTCAGTAATTTTATTCTTCCTCCAGCCTTACTTCTCTGAATCATCCTTTATCTGGTCCTGTTTTACTCCCCACTCGCGCCCCACACACACACTTATTATTACCCTAGTCTTTAATCTGCCCCTCACTTCCCATCTGTTCATTATCTCCAGGTTGTCCATCTCATCCCGTTACAAATAGACCATGTTGTTTCTTGCTGCCCACATAAGAAACAAGGAGTGTTTAAGCTGGCCTGCTTTTCTTCATTCCACTGTATCTTTCTCACACCACATCCCACTTTGTAGTGAATGTTAATAACAACTTTAAAATATTTTTTACCAAAGAAAAAAAAAATACAGTCCTGGATCTCTGAAAAAGAAGATGGTGGGGCCACTTAGCTTTTACGTGAGGTGCTACAGATACAGTCTTGCTTTTGCTGGCTTTATTTCATCTTGCTGCTGTTGCTGACAGCAACTTGTATATTTCAATAGTCTTTATGCTCTATCTATGTTTAAAAAACATACACATAGGAGCTATAGAGAACAGAGGAAGAAATAAATACAGCCTAGAGAACAGACCCCATTGGACTGACTGAGGAATCGAGAAATGCTTTATATAAAAGAAAAAAAGCAGAGAGATAATATTTTATAAAGCTTTTTTATTTTAGAGGCGGTTTTGAGCTTCAGACCCCTCTAAGCATTCTCAACATTTGTAGACTGTCCTGTATGCTTTGGGGTCACTTCCTGGAGTGTGACTGAATAGAAATGACAGTCCTAATAAAATTTTCTATCATCTAAGCAAGATTATGATACAACTGACCAGAAGAAACCTCACTTCTATTTTGGCGGTTTCTTTGTCTCTGGAAGGAAATTATGGGATAAGAATACAAGACTACAAATGAGGGCACATTTGGAAGTCCCTAATGTTTAAACAAATCCCTGAAGCAATTTGAAACAATAAGCATTTAAATAATTTTAAATTAGTAATTTTAAAACAAGTTTGGAAAACTAAGTTTCCTAGTTTTCTGCTGTTCAGGGAGCAAGAGGTGCAGCACAGCCACCAAAATGTTTCTTGTGGAAGCTGAGTTAGATGCAGTCCTTGCAGCTCATATATGTGGGCTGAGTTGCTAAGGGCAAAGTAGGGTTTTTTTGTAAGGGTAGATCAGGATATTGTTTCTTGCAGTACCATTTTAGCATATATTTATAGTTCACATTTTGAAGATTTCCTTGACTAGGATGTTTTGGTTCATAAGGAAAGCACAAAATACATGGAGGCTGGTGTACTGGGTTGGTGAAAATATGTGTGGCTCTTTGTTAACAAAAGTTTCTTAAAGATCTACTATCCAAACAAACTAAAGCTCATTAAACTTCTTGATAACCAGGTTGACCCCCAAATTCATGGTTCAGTTTTCATCTTCATTAAGGATGAAAATCATGCTAGTGTTATATCAGATGTTAGGTTCATTTTTTATGTGGTACTTACTTGCAACCTATAGATTATAATCACTTGGAAATCTACAACTCTACAGCCACAGAACAACATACATGAAAAGTTAAAAAAACCTCATACTTTGCTGTTCTTTTAACATATAAGACTTTTTTCTTTTGATGCAAGTTCTTTCATTTCTGATGTGACAAAAGTCAAACTTAATACTCTTCACCATTTTTTTTAGCAGGAGAAAGAATTTTATTCCATAACTTCCAAATGAGAAAAAATTTTTTAGTATTTTAATATTTTTTACTTTTTTGTCCTTTTTCATTCTGATAAGAATTGACCTTTAAGTAATTATTGCACTAAAAGTGTAGCATTTATCGCCAACGGTGAACTTTTTTTTTGTTTGTTTTCAGCAGACTTTGCTGTAGAGAAGATCAGTTAAGTTGCTGAGTTCATATCTGCATGATGGAAGCAACTTGGCAATTGCTTCCAAAAGTGTTAGAAGATTGATCCTTACGATCCATGTTGACAGATAGTGAGCTGAAGACTTTGCTCTCTGAAGTGTGTAGGCTTGCAGTGTGCAAAAGTCTCAGGCAGTGATGCAGGTAATTATGACCTGATGTGACAACATGATGGCACCATAAGCCACAACGCCTAAAATTTAGTTGGATGTATATGAGCCTGAGTTCCTGTGACAAAAACGAAATTACCTCCTGTCACTTCAGTAAAGGAACTAGCAGGGGGGTAAAAAAAAAAACCAATCCCATAAATATTAGAAGTCCCTGAAAGCTAATGAACCAGCTTCCTTTAGCTGAAATGACAGAGTGTCTGCCAAGAAATCCAAGGACCCAGTCTATGTTTCTTTCTCAAAAGCAATTAGTCAATCGGTACCTTCACAGATCTGTGAAACAATCTGTCCTATTTCATACATCTGTGCAAAAATTACTTTGAAGTGATAAGGTTACTGCCTGGCAAAGCCTTTTACAATAGGGTTGTACACTGTGAAAGTCACCAGCAGCATGCTAAGAAATGTCAACTATAATTAAAACCAATCATTTTCAAATATATGTCATGCTTGGAAATGGTGAGGAATGCTTTTTACGGTAAGAATTCTCAGCCCTGTGAGCACAGACTTCTTCTAAGATTTTTTTATTTATTTATTTTTTTTTTTTTTTTGGTGGTAGGAAGATTTTTTTCTCTCTCTTTTGGCAACACCATTTTGGAAGATGTTTATTCATTAAGGCAATTGTATCAAAAATCACAGAACTGCATGTTTCTTCTCTAAACTTGTCACAGTCCTTATTGAGCTGCATTTAAAGGTTGTCCCTGCATGTAATTTTGAGTACATGGCATGGAATCTATTTTAAAAAATTGTGAAGCACTTTGGCAAAACATCTATTTACTGAAAAATGACATTTCCAAGTACTGAATTGAAATTGTGTTCAGCTTTTGGCAAGCAGTTTTGGAAAAATCAAAATTACAAGTTTGTAAATGGTTAAAGGCTTGTTTCTAAACTAGAGCATTTAATTTTTGCAGACTAATTTCACATAAGGATACAGTTTCCATTTGCAAAGAAAAGGTAATGGCTCCCCTGTAGCCAGTTCATTTAACTCTCCATGTAGTAATTTAAACATGATCCTCCTTGGTCACAGACAAGCTTTTTAGCAACAGAGGTATAAAAGTTCTCCAGGACAAAACTGTCTCACTGTGTGAGGTTTAGAGCAAAACTGGAGCGATGTCTGGGACTTGGATTTTTCATTTACTAGACAGCGCTCTTTGGCGACTCTCATGCCTAATAAGTATTTGGCTGATCATTAAAAAATGTAACAAAGACAATTGGAAACATTGCTTTGAGTCATCTTCATAATCCCATATCCTTATCCAGTATACTGATCTGGAGTAATACACCTCTAAGTCTTCACTGCTTTTGTGTACAAAAGGATGGTATAATGATACATTTATTCTATGAGGTTCATTGTCATGCAACTCTTTCTGCTATGAATGAATATCTTGAAAGAGATAACATCTTGGTCCTCTGAAAGTGAAGAGACACATTTCCTGCCTGAAAATAGCATCTTCACAACCAGCAAGTTTCATAAAATTTGAACTCTACTATGAGAACCTTTCAGGATGATTATCCTCCCAGCAAAAAAGTTAAGAGTAAATTCATTACTGTCCTTAGCTCAATACAAACCTGTAAGAGAAATCTGTATTTTTCAGTGACAACACACAAATTTCAACATGCAGCTACTATAGTTTTTTTCTCTTTTACTGGTTCTAGTAGACCATCAATGAAATATTTACCTGACTAGTGTGGCTCTCCCTATGTCTTTGAATCGATGAGCCTGCTGTATTGCTGGCCGACAGTCTTGAATATTCATTTTCGTCTGGTAAACCTAAAGAAGAACAATACTACTTTATAATCTGTCATTTATGCATTAGCTGATTACAGCATAAGAGTCAAAAGACCTTGATGTGCTTTATTAAAATAGAATGATAAAATCACACATTTGCCTGGATATTTACTATTTCCATGCTTACTGAAACTGGAACAGTTATTGTTTACCAAGTATGAAAAGCATCATAGGTATGTGTGCTGGTTTACAGAAGGAGCAACTGTACTGAATGAGCCTACAAATAACACATTACCAGGCTGGCCAGGGATTCCTCCTGCAATGCAGAAATCCCTGGCTCCTCTTCCCCTGGCTCCTTTTCATCACAGAAGCAAAGCAAAGGGAATGGAAAACAGGCCTGTGGTCTGCTCTCAAATTAGTGTCTTTAGGTTACACAAGAAGTTGATAGTAGGTCCAGGACTTACAACTTCATCTCCTCAGTACAGAGTTTTTGGTAATAATTCTTGTATTTATTGTGCACTCTCCATACGGGAATTAGCTGCCCAAAATTTAGGTGTGTAAGAACCATTCATCCCATGTAAAAGAGACAGGTAGTCTCCTTCTCCAGTCAAGAGAAACAAACACCTCTGCATAGTGATCCTAGAGTAAGGCTCATTGCCACCACTTCATAACTTTTGCCAGAGTGTGAAGACCATTCACATAGCACTACAAAGGATCTTAAAGGTGGGATGAGGGGAAGCAAACGCAGAAGCAGAAACACAGTGAGTCCATGATAGGCATTATTAAGCCCCTCACAAACAAGAATGAAAGACACCATAGTAGGTCTGATACCCAAGAATTTTGGTATTGCTTTGTATAGCATATATTAAAAATTTTCATGCTACATCCATAAACAGCATATCACTACTCCATCTTCCGAACAAAGCTAGCCACCAAGAGAACAGAATTCATCCTAGTAAGAGATATGCAAGTTGAATTGTTTTCAGTAGATCACCTGAGATTTACTAACTAGAAATGGATAACATCTAATCTGAAGAATTTGATTAGACTAGACATCTACCTTCTGTAGAAGCTAAAACTAGGTAAGGTGATTCTGGGACTAGACATGTAACTCTAAAATAAGAAAAAATGAGGCAAGCCCTACTCTTTACATACTATACACAACACACACAGAATTATATGGAAACAAACCAGAGTTCAAATGCAATGAATCTTAAACTACTAATGGGATTATGTACTGCACTAAACACATAATTCTGTTTCATGTTCATGTTCAGTTTCTTGTTCAATCAAGAAACTGGCACAGAAACACACTGTGAAACATGCTTGTCATAAAACCTGCTATTTTCTGTATTAAAAATGGGGGTTTAATAGTTTTTAATTTTGACAAATGAGCATTAACTCTTACATAGTTACTGATTTAACTCATGAAAATATCGATTGCATGAACAATCCAATAAAATAACATGACTTTGCAAGGGAAATAAATCAAGAATTTTAAAGAGAATGAATGATCCTTATTCCTTTTTGGCCTCTCTACTCTGCTTTCAGTTCCCCCCTTATAATGACGCATCTCCACTGCTTTCTAACTAGGGACAGCTGGGGTTTTTGTTATTCTGAATAAAGCTTACGTAAAACATTCATAAACATGGATCTTTTTCTACAGCTTCAAATCATCTCAAATCCCTCTGGGGACACACAGGCAGTGAAGAAGGTGGAATCCCTGCTTGCAACTCAGGAGTCAGGTCAAATCTTATGAGAATCCAGCATTTCAGTCCTTTTCTGCTGGCGCAAAGAGGATGTCTGACCCTGTTCTCTCAATGATTTGAACTATGTGTTGCTTCGAGGTGGAGTTATCACTCTTTGAAGCTGGTCCATGATATATTAGGTATGTACTGGAGCAAGGTCTGATGTTCAACGTCTCCAGTATACTAGGTTTATAAAATGTATGTATTCCTTTCTTACCTATATTAAATTCATTGTCTTAAAATTCTCCCTCAGCAAAATTACGTATTTTTGGACAAACAGAATGCTTGAAATAAATTTCCCTCCAAGAATCAGTTTTTGTCAAAACAAGTCATAGAATCATAGAATAGTTAGGGTTAGAAAGAACCTTAAGATCATCTAGTTCCAACCTCCCCCCTCTTTTTCAAATAACAAAAAGTAGGCGTTATTTATTTAATTCAAATAAAATATATATTGCAAAATATTTGCATGAGTCTAGACCACCACAAATGAATGAAAATATTTTCCTAGGCCAGCAGCATGTTTTGAAAAAGACACTGCTTTTGCACTGTATTAATACATTTTAGGACGTACTGTCCATGACAGCCTTAAGCTAAGAATAAGGTTATCAATGATTTTCTGTTTATTTCTATGAAAAGTGCTTTGATAAGAGGTCTTATCAAATAAGTGAAGTTTCTATGTACAGCAACAGCACATCATCACAGACATGGCAAGCAGAGGCTTAGTGGAGTTTGGAAAGATAAATGGAGCAGTTGATTACATTCTGAGAGTTTTCCTTTATATACACCTAAGTAAACATTCGGATACCACAGGTGTGCACTGAATAAGACCTTGCTTAATTCAGCACAAGGTTGGAAGCATTGGTTTAGCAGGGGCAGAACTACATGAATCAGGGGTTCTGGCTGAAGCACAAATTGCACCATCTGTACTGGGCTTTCTTGCAACTATTCTCAAGTTACCAAAAAGAAGTCTAATTTAGAGCTTTTTTTTTTTTTCCTAAATTATGCTTGCTAACATTATAACTGCAGTTCTATGTAGTATTGAAAATGATAGCAAGGAATATGATTCAATCTAACTAGAGAAGTTACTCCTCTTTTTTTTTTTTTTTTTTTTTTACATGATCAAGAATACAGCCTTGTGTCAAGCAGTATCTGGATTCAAACTGGAAATCCAATCCTTTAATCACTTACTCTCTGTAATTCCTTCTCTATATTGCTTCAAAGGAAGATCCCACAATCAATCCCTGATCTTTTTCCTATACTTCCTATTTCCCATTTCTGCCTTGTTCTCAGATAAATAGCTTGCATCTCTCAAATATTGAGATCTAAATTACTGGACATTTAGAAGAGGTTCTGAGGTTCCAGAGAACCTCCAGTCTCGCAGTCTTTGATACCCAAAAATTGGTAACCACCTCCTGGCATCCAACAGCCACCACACCCACCCTAGTCTCTGGGTCTTTGCAACTCTAGTCATACATCATTCCCAAACCTTCTAACTTTCTCCATGATTCTGCATTCACACATAGGCTGGATCTACTAATCAGCTCCACTTGATACACTGGCTGCTATAGTACGAAAGAGGCATGCATCAGCATGAAAGGTAAGATGTAAGGCTCTGTACTCAGCAGAATGTAGCCTGCATCACAGTGGCATGCCCCATTTCTGTTAGGTTATCTGCTGTGACACCTCTCCCATTCTGCAACTTGTTGCCTGAAGTGTTTAGATCTGGTGGTGAGTTTCAAGACAATATATAGCCGACTGGAGCACACAAGTGATTTGCTTAGTCAGAATGGCTACCTTCTTGACAGCTAACATTAGAAAAAAACTAATCCCCTTACATGAACAATGCATAGAGCTTTTGGTGAAACAGAGAGATTCTTAGAGCACACTTACAGTTTATACAGACTCTGCATATCAGCACACTCTTTGTGCTGATCTGCATAAACTATACAGTGGGTCCATTCACATGGATTTCCAGATGCAAGCAGGAATAACCAGAGAGGCTTCCTTCGAGGGACAGCAGTTTGCCAGCAGAGTTGGATGAACAGGACAGCATGTGCCTGTACGACCATTAGTCACAATGCAGCACAATGCTCCTTTGGTCCAACAGGGCTGTCTCATCTACACAGTATGTACTTTAATTTTCACTTGGGTTACACAGTGTAAGTACCTCTATGACACACTCCACTGGGGGTAAAGAACTCTCAGATATCTGGGGATTTTCTTCCTTTCACTAATCAAAGGTTAGGTCACCTCAGTCACTTACTATCACTTATCAGAAAGCCAATCATATACTGGGCTGCGTCAAAAGAAGCGTGACCAGCAGGTCAAAGGAGGTGATCCTGCCCCTCTCCTCTGCTCTCGTGAGACCCCACTTGGAGTATTGTGTACAGCTCTGGTGTCCTCAACATAAAAAGGACATGGAGCAAGTCCAGAGGAGGGCCACGAGGATGATAAGAGGGCTGGAGCACCTCCCGTATGAAGACAGGCTGAGGAAGTTGGGGCTGTTCAGCCTGGACAAGAGAAGGCTGCGTGGAGACCTCATAGCAGCTTTCCAGGATCTGAAGGGGGCCTACAAGGATGCTGGAGAGGGACTCTTCATCAGGGACTGTAAGGATAGGACAAGGGGTAATGAGTTCAGACTTAAACAGGGGAAGTTCAGATTAGATATAAGGAAGAAGTTCTTTACTGTAAGAGTGGTGAGGCACTGGAACAGGTTGCCCAAAGAAGTGGTAAATGCTCCATCCATGTCAGTGTTCAAGGCCAGGTTGGACAGAGCCAACATGGTTCAGTGTAAGGCATCTCTGCCCGTGTCAGGAGGTTGGAACTAGATGATCTTTAGGTCCTTTCCAACCCTAACCATTCTATGATTCTATGATTAGAGTTGTCATATTGAAAGGTTTCACTTAATGACTTATACATTGGTACATTTCACATAATGTCCTGTTCATCCACATTCTATTAGGTACTAGTTGGAAATGACAACAAATTTCAGCATACTTTTACCTTGCCGTGTTTGTCTTATAACAGAGTATCTGCTGTTTTGGGTGATTTAGGATTGCAGCTTTCAGCATTGTAACATAAAAGGTTATTATAGGTTTTATGATTATTATTCTTTGTGTTTGGACAAGAAATAGACTAAAAACTCTGGTAGATGTGGAAGATTTGTGTCAAAAAGGTCACAGATTGACAGCACAGTGTGATGTAGAGAGATATAGAAAGGTGTTACTCCTAAAATTAAGCTAAAGAAAACCAAACATAAACATTATATAAACCATTATATGAAATGAAAAAGTAACTTCTATTAAAATTCTAAACTAAAAGCAGTGTTATATCCTTAGGATTTATGTTTTTAGGATGTCAAAAAATTCCATTCTTTCTGTCATTGCTCTTGCACCATTTTGATCATCTTGTTGCAATGATAAAAAAAAATTGTCATTCACTAGTAAGGACCTTGTAGCAAATGGAGACCCTGATTTTCCATTTTCCATCCCATCTGTATTGATTACAGGATCAGAAATCTCAAATCTCAGTCCTCCATGCCTCAGGCTGTTTACAGACTTGGAGCTGAGCTAATTACAAATTCCTCAACATAGGCTGTTTTATTTTCTTCACATTCAGCTTTTATTGGAGAGGGGCTTATCAGTTCACACATACTAAGTTAAGCCAGTTCCAGAAACACAGGTATTTCACCACTCAGAAGATTCCAACTAGACTATATCTTAAAAAGCTCTTTAAAGGAAACACTTCAGCAATTTTATGTTAGAAGAGCTTTGGGATTAAAAACTGCTTACCATTTGATACTGAATTTCCATTTTCAGCAGTCACAGAACTGGACAATGGATTAGACGACTGAATTCCATGGTTGTTTGCATTTTTATCCTGGGTTTCTGATCCAGTATCTGATGTATTTGGATCTTCTCTGCTCCTCAAGTTCAGATTAGTTTCAGCACCTGACACAAACAGAGAAAAAGCTCGTCAGCTTTCTATTAACTAGTGGCTTTCACATATAAGTAGAAAAAACTAACACAGAGAAAACAAATTATTAAATTAATATAATTAATCACTAAATTCACAAGTCCAGTGATAAATGTAGAAGGTTCAAGGCAGTGATTTTTTCACGGTTTGTTTTTTTGGGTTTTTTTTGCTAGTGTTACACTTATAGCCATTTAAAGTTTATGGAAGTGAAAGGCATTAGAAAATTTCATTTGTACTGTTTCTTTTCACACAAATATCAGCTAATAAAACTCAACAAATGTTTGTATTGCCTCCATTTTAGACTTTATTTCACAGGAGCTCCTATAACCACTGTGATCATCACTGCAATGCCTTTCACAATTGTATTAGTTGATTATAGCAACAGCTATAACATGGGTTTATTTTTTTCTCTTATCTCATCCTACAAGAAACAAAATGGCTTTTGATGTGAAACCATATGTAGGGAGATTCCTCTCAGCAGAGTCTCCCTATAGCCATTATTTACCCTGCCCCAGGGCTCCCCAGCCATCAATTGTCATTTTCTATAAAGTTCCAGGTTTTCATGTCATAGCCTTTTAGTTAAATTTATTCAAGACATCAAGAGAAGGTCTGATCCTGTAGGAGTTTCCGAGTGATGTACAATGCACAGGCATTTCTTCAAAGAGAAAGGCAAAAGCTTTCTCTTCTTCAGCCTCTGACGGCACAACTATGCAGAGCAGAAGAGCTCACAGCAAAGTGCCTGGAGCTGGCTTTGAGCTTGCCTGGCTTTGTCAGCCCAGTGCACCACAAGAAACAGGGCTTAGCCGTCAGCTGTGCCAGAGCATCGCTCCCCACTGGAGTTTGGGGGCCAGAGGCAAGTTTGGAGCTGGGAGACTAGATTATGAACAGATGGGGATGGTAGGAGGGACTCCCACTTCAATTCTGGTATCTCTGGATATCCCCACTCCACCCCTGTGTGGTAGCGCTGATGAAGCTGCATGAAATGCTGCACTGGCAAGGCTATGCATTGTTTGATGGATTTCTCTCTCTTTTCAGTGTTTGTTTTCATTTAGTGATGAACACATATGCATACTTTTTCTTTGCCATAATCAGGTTTGTTTCATGGAAGACAAAGCTGAATTCAGTTCTCTCTGTTTAGCTCCATTTCAGTTTTTCTAATTCCATCTACCCTCTCTGAGAGCTAACCTTAGCTGTGGGACTGACATATTATGGCTGACCTGGGTGCAGACGCCCTTATTTAGCACTCAAAACTGGATTTTTTTTCTTCCAATAACTATTCTTTTATTTTGGTTGTGTCTATTTAAGCTTTGTCATAATGACAGCAATAACTAATGGAGGTCAAAATACTAGCTATTAAAACCAACATTACAGTGTTTGTCCATGCTTCCAATGACATCCTCGGCTCTCCCAGAGATAGAATATTCTTATGAGTCTTGAGCACATGAGCATTTTTCAAGGAAACAGGAAAAACATTTTTTTCACCACGAACAGATACTTTGCCTGCAGATTTTCAAACCTATGTTAACTGCGTGGTCAATTTTTCATATTTATGCCTGAACTGAAAAAAAAATACCACCTGGTTTAAAAAGTACCAACATTTAAAAAATGAATTAATGAAACAAAACCCATACATCCATTCTGATTAACATGAAATGTTCATTTCAGTGAAAAGGGCTTTCTTATTTTTGTTTAGCTTTCAGTTATCTAACTCTGAATCTTTCTTAACATTTCCTCTTCTAACAAAGAAGCTGTCTTGAAAAGTCAAAAATCTCATTTTCATGCTGTCAGAATAAAATACAGCAATTTTTTATTATATTTTTTTTGCTCCCTCATTCCCTGATCATTATCTTTTGCCAGATGTGATTGGAGTGTTTCAGTGGCAGTTTCACAAACTGCCTATTTAGGCAAATGTGCTCTGCATTAAAAAAATTAGGCCAGCTCTACCCACAGCAACTGACTTGGGAGAGGTGGTAGAACCAGAGTCTGAGCTGGAAAATGCATACAGGACAATTATAAGAGCATGCCTGATTTAGCTTTTGTACAAGCAAGTTGACTGCAAAATGCAACTTTGCAGCTCATATTAAATTTGTCTGAAAAGGAAATGTCACTTTTAGATGTTAATAGTCAGTGCACTTGCCTATAGATCATAATCCACCTACATAATTATTGTGTCACCTTTTACATAAAGAGTCTTGGGGGAAGTGGCTGGGATCCTTATTTTTCTTGATATCCGAAAGATTTATTGATTTGCCTGACATCTGCAATTCATTTGAGAATGTGCAAGTAGAAAGACTTTTTCTTGCATTCCTATTTGTGGAAGCCTTTTGTTTCATAGGTACGTTATATATCTTTTCATGGCATTCATAATGGGCTCTTGGAAAAAAATTAGGTTATCTTTTCTCCTTTATATGTGTAAGATGAAATCCTACAAATAATTGTGGCTAGCTGCTATTCAGCTAAAATATCTTAAATTGGCAGAAACAAGTAATGGATAGATATGCAGCACATATTTTGAAACAGCTATCTAGGTAGGTATCTGTTATCACATTTGCTTTATTCAGTCACTGTAAGAAATTTACACCCTTAGTTTCTAAATAGAAAACTAGATAGAGAAAATATACTTCATAGTGCCTTATTTAATTATCTTGGGGGTGAGAAAGAAGCCTATGTTTTGAGTTCTGTTTTGGGTTTTTTTGGTTTTGTTTTGTTGGGTTTTTTTCCAGATAATCTGAATTATATAAAGGTACTTGTGCTAATTTCCTATACATAGTCATCTTCAGCTCCTCACTGGAGCAATTCATGTGAGTCTATGGAAAAAGTATAACTGCTTATGTTGGCTATCTTCAAAGACACCCTTGGAGAAGCTAGAGTATATCCCTGGCAAACAAGTACTGTTCATTTATTTTGCACTTTGTACAAAATAGGTGAGTTTGTGCAAGAGGATGCTTTAGTCAGGTGTAACCAGTGTCCTGTCCCAGTGCTGTGAAATTTACCTAGGATTACTGGATAATTTATGTTGTAAAGGACCCCAGGAGATCCCTTGTGCACCACTGCTCCAAGCAGGGCCAGCAGTGGGATCAAGCCAGGTTGCTCAGGGCTTTGCCCAGCCAATCTTGGAACCCTCCCAAGGATGGAGCCTGCCCAAACTCCCTGGGCAGCCTGTCCCTCTGCCTGCCTGCTGCCCTGCCTGTCCTCTTGTGGGAGAGGTTTCAGCACCCAGCCTGAGCCTCTCTCATTTCAGCTCATGCCTGATGTAACTTCTTGCCCTGGTGGGCACAGGTGACAGCCCCTGCCCAAGCTCCTGTCCATGCTCCTGCTGATGCAGCCCCAGATGCTGCTGGCCATCTCTGCTGCCAGGGTACAAAGCCAGCTCCTGCTCAGCTCCACATTATGTCAACTTTCCCCTGCTGCTGTAAGCCCCTGCAGAGACAGATGTGCACTGCTCTCTCATCCCTTATCAACTTTCTGAAACTATCAGAAATACTTTAGGAGAGGGGAAAAGACAAAATTACGGTTCCTACAGATGAGCATCTTCATCAACAAGCTGAATGTTAGGTTTTTGTTCAGACTTGTGCTCTGCTGTTCTTATCAGATGGATAGATTCTTCACTAAACTTAAACGTTTTTTAATTATTTTTTTTTTAAGTAACAGCATCTTAACACTTTCCAGGTAGTAATAAATGTTATTTGAAGAGTCATCCATACCTACTTATGAAAGACTCGCTACAGAGAGGTGTCAGATGTAAGATCACAGTGGGAATTCATGATTATAAAAGGAATACAAGCTTTAAGTGAAAACCTACAGACTCTTTGCAACAGTGAACAGTATCTGGATTATTATTTTGGTTAAATTGAATTTTCCAAAAAGATACCTCTAACTCAGTCAAAGTCTGCTCTGAGTAATCTTGCAGTTAATGAGGATATATGGACTACAAGGATGTATGGATGTTTGGACCGAGGGCACAATTTGCTCCTCAACTGCAGCACAGTTACTAGGTGGAAGCAATCACATGTACAGTGCTTTTAATCAGAGTATGACAAATCAAAGTGTAACAATTATTTCCGTACAAGCAAGCTCTGTATTCCAACAAATCCATAATTAATTACATCAACATTACTGGAAAAGTGTAAAAGGAAAAGTATACAAAAGAGGCAGCTCACAAAATCTGCATTTGCTTGTTGTTCTCAGTGCTCCTAGAAGAGATTGAGTTTAAGATTCATGACAAAGTTATAAGGCATAGGATGGACTGAAATGTCACTTACTTTTGGAAAAAAAGTCTGAGTACGGCAATCATGGGAATCACTTAATAGATCTGCTTTCTATTTTCCTTATTCAGTCATTATCTCATTCTTGAAAGAAACCCAATGCACTGAAAGTCTACATGATATAACTTTCTTGTCAAAAGAATAACTTCAAATCTTTTAACTGAGCTATGAGTTCCAAATATCCTATTATAAATCTCTTTTTTTCTCAAACATAAAATGTAGGATCCCAAACATCATAGTTACTTCATAAGCAGTATTTCGGCTGAATTAATATTCTCATCAAATTATGAAATGGGCCAGTATAGCTTCTATTCAGATGACAGATTAAAGAACAGTACAGAAATATCTTGAGAAACTATTAATTTTTTAAGAAAATTATATATTTAGCCTATTTAATAAAGTCTAAAGCAAAGTATAAATCAATGGCTGGTATTTTGGTGGAATCACCATAGACTCTTTTTGCAGCAAGACACGGAAAACCAGTATGCTATTAAAGGCTCAAGAGTAACTCACCTGCTTGGTTTGTATTTTTCTTTTCTGTCAAAGCCCTTGGTTTTGCTCTCATTTCTTTAAAAGTAGGTATACCCATGATGTATATCTGTCCCCAAATATTCTTTTTTCAAATAGTTCTTCTTTTAACATTTAGTGCTCATTTACAGTCTGACTGAAAACTCATTAATAACAACAGAAGGCCTCCACTGCTTTCAACG